CCATCACTTCCCAATGATATACTAATAAATTTAAATTTGTTAAAATTGTTCTTCATTTAAATTATTGTATTGTTTTTAAGTGGGTTTTTTTGCACTACAAATAAGATATGTGCACTGTGCATAGGAATTCATTCTTTTTCCTCCAATTATAATCCAGCCCTCCAATAGTTTGAGGGACCGTGACCTGGCCCTCTGTTTAAAAGGTTTGAGAACCCCTGTTTTAGAGTGTCTTCGCTGTACAGAAAATACAACAGAAAAATCATATCTCATCTTCCCATAATGTTAAGAAAGCTTTAAGTAATGCTAATCCATTTCAAGTTGCCTTCTGCCATCCCTTTCTATGTTTTTCCATCCTTCCTTTGACCTGGGCAATTTGACTTTTTTTTCCTTCCTAATGTCTGCTTGCCGGTTCACTTTATGCTTTACTTTGCTGTGTTTAGGATTTGCAATCACATCCCCTGATGTGTTGCCATCACCCAATTTCACAGCATTCTGGGCTAGTGGGACCTCACAACTCTTCTTTGCATGCAAATTAGGACTCTCTGTTGCCAAAGTGAAGGGGGACAAGAAAGAGAAGGAGGAGGATGATTTAAGTCTGTGAATGAGGTTTCTTCTCTGGACAGGCAGATCCTGAACTGTGGTAGACACTGGAAAAAAAAAGAAAGTGATGGGTAGAAATTGGGGAGGCTAAGATGAAGAATTGACAATAATCATTGATGTACACAAGAAGTAGTTGAGGCCATTTTCCAACATATAAACTCTGAAAAAATGCATGACAAATTGCTAGGATGTAACCCAATCTGGTTAGAATCATAGAATCATATAGTTAGAAGAGACCACATGGGCCATCCAGTCCAACCTCCTGCCAAGAAGCAGGAATATTGCATTCAAAGCACCCCTGACAGGTGGCCATCCAGCCTCTGTTTAAAAGCTTCCAAAGAAGGAGCCTCCACCACACTCCAGGGCAGAGAGTTCCACTGCTGAACGGCTCTCACAGTCAGGAAATTCTTCCTCATGTTCAAATGGAATCTTCTTTCTTGTAGTTGTTTTGAAAGAGAAGGGGAACACTATTTGTAAACTGGTAATGGCTATTTAGATTTGATATAAGTCAGTGCTGGGTCAAAAGGAACAAGAAGTAAAGATTCTTTGGTTATCACCCTTTCTTGTGAGGCTAGATAATATGGGAAGGCAGAGATATTTCCAAGCAAATTTAAAGGCAGCCATGATTCAGTACAAAATCTAGGAGGATGTGTGGGTGGGTTCATGTATCTTTATGCCTATGCATTCAGTATTTGCTGATGCATATCTCTGTACATTAGGGACTATTTTGTTCTGGTTCTATCTGTGATATGCTGCGACTTGTCACAATGCTATCTTAGTCTGGTTTTTCTGAGCATTTGCACATTTGCTTTTGAGAGAGAGGGACAGGCAGACAAAGAATGTACGTTGGTAGACATACAGATTATTCAAAGTTCATCCTTCCTTTTTTTCATATGGAGTTCAAAACTATTTTCTAACACCTCTGCATGGTAGGTTATTTGAAGGGTTTGAAACTTTTTCATGCTAAGCTGGTATATTTTGTGAGGACTTAACTGGGATTTGGAGCCGTGCTTTCTCCATCTGTGCATTCTGGCCTCTGCATCCCATTGACTGTTATCCCAGTCTTATTTATTATTTACTTATTTACTTCATTTGTATACCACTTTTCTCCCCGAAGCAGGGGACTCAAAGTGGTTTCCAACATAACTATGACAAAATTTAATGCCTCACATACAGAAAACTAACATAACGATAACATACATTTATCAATTAAATCATAAAACATGACAACATTTCACATTAAAACATGGAATTAAAAACATATCAATATAAACATCCAAATCAATCAAACAATTGTAGTCCAGGCTATTCCAAATACCATATCTATTGCACATAATCCCTGACCATTCCTTGCACTGCTTATTCCCAAAGGCTTGGTTCCATAGCCAAGTTTTACTTTTCTGCTGAAGACCAGGAGGGAGTCCATTTGATCTAATTTTGTTGGGGAGGGAATTCCATAGCTGAGGAGCCACCACTAAGAAGGCCCCATTTCTTGTTCCCACCAATTGCATTTGCAAGTGAGGTGGAACCGAGAGCAGGGCCACCCTAGGTAAAGGTAAAGATTTTCTCCTGACTTTAAGTCCAGTTGTGTCTGACTCTGGGGTGTGGTGCTCATCTCCATTTCTAAGGTGAAGAGTCGGCGTTGTCCGAAGACACCTCCAAGATCATGTGGCCAGCATGACTGCATGGAACGCCGTTACCTTCCCGCCGAAGTGGTACCTATTGATCTACTCACATTTGCATGTTTTCAAACTGCTAGGTTGACAGAAGTTAGAGCTAACAATGGAAGCTCATGCCACTCCCCGGATTTGAACCTGCGATCTTTCGGTCAACTAGTTCAGCAGCTCAGTGCTTTAACCCACTGCACCACTGGGGGCCACCCTAGATGATCTTAATCTCCGAGATGGTTCATACATGGTTCTGTCTCACCTTTACATATAATTTATATAGTCTCTCTGCATTGTATTCACTTCAGTTTATACAAATGTGTGCTCACATCCCTTGCAGGTGAAGAACTGTCATTACACCATGATGTATGTAATGGTTTAAAGTTTGGAGTACAGTTCTAGTGAACAGGGTTCTAATCTCCACTCAGCCATGGCATCCCAGTGGGTGGTATGGGAAAAATTACATTCTCTCAGCTACAGAAAAGGACGAAGACACTCTTTGAACAAACCTTACCCAGAATATTCTCTTAAAGGTTCCTCTTAGGAAGCAACTTAAAGGCACACAACAATCATAGAATCATAGAATCAAAGAGTTGGAAGAGACCTCATGGGCCATCCAGTCCAACCCCCTGCCAAGAAGCAGGAATATTGCATTCAAATCACCCCTGACAAATGGCCATCCAGCCTCTGCTTAAAAGCTTCCAAAGAAGGAGCCTCCACCACACTCTGGGGCAGAGAGTTCCACTGCTGAACGGCTCTCACAGTCAGGAAGTTCTTCCTAATGTTCAGATGGAATCTCCTCTCTTGTAGTTTAAAGCCATTGTTCCGCGTCCTAGTCTCCAAGGATGCAGAAAACAAGCTTGCTCCCTCCTCCCTGTGGCTTCCTCTCACATATTTATACATGGCTATCATATCTCCTCTCAGCCTTCTCTTCTTCAGGCTAAACATGCCCAGTTCCCTAAGCCGCTCCTCATAGGGCTTGTTCTCCAGACCCTTGATCATTTTAGTCGCCCTCCTCTGGACACATTCAATCACAACGTAAGTGAGGGTAAAACATTGTCACTTATGTGATCTCAAAAGATCTTTGTACCTCAAATGATATCAGGTGGTGTTCCATTTTCATTGTTTACAAAGCATCCAGACAACTTCCTATAGCATACATACATGGGTATATGAGTTATCAAAACCTGAGCTGTTATGGGTTGTCTAAGGAAAATGCAGGGAATTTCAAAATGTTGGGTATATATCGTACAATGAAGGGCCAATTCAAATGAAGTGGTAACAGATGAGAAGGGGGTCAGGGTGGATTTTGTGTAACAGCCTTCTTTGATTGTTTATCAAATGGTCTGATAATTTTGCTTAGAGGCAGTTTTTGGAGAAGTTACTTTTTCAAGTCCATCTCCTAGAAGACTCTAATTATGAATGTTTGTCAGTTACTGTCCAAAAGATGAACTCTTTGAAACTCTGCTCAGAAACATAATGAAACTGAACCCCATAGAAAGCAGGTTCTTACTGCACCAACCATCACAAAATTTGGAAATGGAAACAGTTTTGGTTACATTCAAAAGTGGACAGTTCTTTATGAAGCAGGTCATGTGTATGATTTAGCTTGTGGGAGTATGTGTGGGTCTACATGGGGCTGGGTGGAAGGTTATAGATTTGGCATGAAAAGAAACTGGGCACATACATTTCTGTAGCCACCTTTTCTCCCATCGTTTTTCAAATTTGCATTATTAGCACAAACAGAGCTTTTGTACATGCTGTGTTTCCTCCACTTGCCTAGGAAGAGGCAGTTTCCACATTCACCATGATGCAATGGCAAGCCTGGTTTCAAGGGCCTTTTCACCTTTCCCCATTCTGATTAAGGTCTTGGGAGCAATTGCAGACTGGCTCTTTTCCATGCCACATAGTTACTCAGGGCATCTGTGGTCATGTTGGCAACAGTCCTGTTGTAGTTCCTGCAAACATTATTCCAGTTGTTAGAAGGAAATTCCATGACTTCCAGCATGATCCTATCAAATAGTATAGGAAGGAGATGGTGGGGCACATGGATGATCTCTATGTTATTGTTACTCACAAATAGCATCAAAGTACATTGCATAGTTTCAACATAAATGATATTGCATGATGGGACAGATCAGAAGACACTCAAAGCAATTACCCCTATGGTTGTGTACCCTTTCTGTTTGAAAATAATTCTTGTAGTTTGCATATGGGCCTAACAATCTGGCCTGCTCATGTGAAGGTGGCAGAGTGGCTTGAGCAGTGGCTTGTGTTGAAGGATGAGAGTGGTAACTTCATGTAGGGCACAGAGAGTAACAATTCCGTGTCCAAGAGAATAAGTGACCAACCCAAATGTGGATACCTGGGCACATTTTGAGGGCTCAGCTTGCCCCTATGCCAAGTTGAACTGTCAAATAAGGGCCTCTTCACCCTGACTTATGCTAACATCTCTAGGCCCATCTGTCTCCTTTCCCCTTTACATTCACTTGTCTCTTTCCATGATCATTGATATGCCCTTCTGGGTTATACCCTACACTGACTGTGGATTAAGCAGCTGTGCACCCCCCCCCCCACCCTCATTCTCTCATTCTCTCACATACATACACTCAAATGTGCTCACTATTCATTTGTGGCATATCCTGTTGCCATTGGAAACCTAAGAAAGAAGTGAATATACCCTCCAACTCTCTGGCTTTTTCTTCCCCCTCCCTTCCCCCCATTCCCTTGCAGACGGAGAGCTTAGCGATGAATCCGTTGATGCTCCGATCCATCAAAGAGCCTGATCAACGAGGCACAGACCATCCCTAAACGTGATTAAATATCCCTTTCTTCCAAGGCTCAGAGGCAACACGGATTTACCTGACCTGTCTTCTTCACGATTTGCTGTTCAAAGCACAACCATCTGGAGGAGGTAAGAGAACCTTCTTGCCTAGTGATATGCCCCCTTATCCTTTTTCCTTTCTCCCACATCTGTTCTCAGTGCAGAGGTGCATCTAAGGTGGGAGAAGAACCTTCCTCACTGCTCACTCTCTGCTGAACTCATGCTCTTGCTTGCTTCCAATTGCCCAGCCTCCTTTGGCAGCTCAGCATGCAGCTGCTCTTTGGAAATCAGTATGTAGGAAGGCGACCGGTGCAGTTTTGTAGCATTCAACCCAAAGCTTTCTTCTCTTTACTTGTCGTGGTCTTCTTGCATCTGTCCCATTCTTGCCTTCACTCTCATTCCTCTACTCAGCACCCTTGCAGTACATGCCTCTCCTTCTTCCTTTGTCAAACAAACATTGATTTTTTTGTGTTTGATAAGCAAAGAGAGGGCAATGCAACCCCCCTTCTTCCACACTGAGCTAATATACATACCTGCTGGCAGTGGAGTGTAGCAGGCCGCAGATGTTGCTCTTCAGACAACATACACTTTGCAGGTCTTTATGATGAAGGGGATGCCATCCCATCGGGGCATCAGCCAGTGGTGTTTGTTGTGAGCTGAACATGTGCTTGGAAATCTCTGATGCTGAGATAATGTTTTAAAATATCCCATCTCCCCACCATGTGTTTTTAGATGTTTAGCACATTGCTAGTCAGTTACATTTTTCTCTCCAAGTTAGCAACATAGCAGGGTTTAGAGAGTATGTGTTCAGAATAGTTTCTCTTACAATCCAATTGGAGGAGGGATTTCCTGACAATCAGGAAATGCTTTATTTTTCAAGTTAATGATGCAAGTGGGATTTTTTTTTGGGTAGGAGAGGGGAAGCTTGGATCTTCCAGGTGTTTTTGGAATGGCTGCTGAAATACACCTTTGGTCTGTGTGTTTTAAAGTAGTTATTTTAAGTGATATCTTTTAATTATGTGGTTTTAAAGTTTATGTTGTTTTATTTTTATATGTATCAAGGCATTAAATTGTGCTTCTGTTGTGAGCTGCCCTGAGTCCCCTTCGGGGTGAGAAGGATGAGATATAAATGTAGTAAATAATTATTACCTATTATTATTATTATTATTATTATTATTATTATTATTATTATTATTATTGTAATTATTATTATTTTGGAACTCCGCTCCTAGAAGTTGTAGTAAGCATAGCCAATAGTGTAAAGGATTATATAAGGTGTGGTCCAAAATATCTGGAAAAGCATTGTTTCCCACCCTTGTGTTGGTGGGTACTGGCATCTTCTTCTATATAAATAAAAATGTAATGTTCGTTTGTGGGATTATCATAACTCAAAAACCACTGGACAAATGGACACCAAATTTGGACACAATATATCTATCAGGCCAATGAGTGACCATCACTCATAAAAACACAGAAAAACTCAGTGGAAGAGAATTAAAAAGCCAAAAAATAAAAAATACATTACAACGCATGTGCAAAACCACATATATACACTTACATACACACACAAAACACATATACATAGATTGGGCCAAAGCAACGTGTGGCAGGGGACAGCTAGTAGATAAATGAAACAGGATGAAGGCAAGAACTGTAAATTGCATGAAACAACTTCCAAAGTGCTAAAGAGCATAGAACTGATGAAATGGAATCACTGAATTCTATTGTGTATGTAACAATATGTGCACCTTTTCTTGTGAAACCTGATTCATACACAGCTTACAGAAATAAAATCCTAAACAACAAGGTCATGAGTGTTATGCAAAATCCACTAACTGAAATGTATCCATACCATGTTAAAACACAAAGGGCTAATTTCTAAATGTCTGAATAGGTAAGGTATATTCATTTAAAATTTTAACACATTAATAAAAACAACCATAACACCAAAGTGCAGCTAGAGCAAGCAAAACATGATTAGTAAAAACCCAACATGCCAGTTACTGGTACTCAGTAATATCCCATTGTAATGAGTTTTTTTTTTCACATGCTGATTAGATAACCAAAAATTTTTGTTCCAGAAAGTAAAGTACAACCCATATGAAGGATCAAACAATTGGTAGCATCTTTAGTAAACCATTTTGTTGAGCATTCCCATACATTATTATCATTTTAAGTAATAGATTATTGATAGAATATATTCTCACAGGTTTGATTATGAAATCTTATTACTGTGAAAAGAAGCAGGGTGTGTTTTTAAATTGGATACAACAAGCTTTAAAGGATTTATGTCTAAACCCACCTTGACTTCTGAGAATATAATCATAATATAATGTATGTTTTTTGGGGGAGTGTTTTTCTCTGTCCACCATGCTATGAAGTTTCATAACTGGATTATATGACTGTGTATTTGGTATTATTTTTCTCTCACAGAATGCATTCACCTGGAAACTGTCATAGTAAATGTCATAGACGGGGTCACCAAGTGAATAACCCTAAATGTTTTTGGACCTCATCTACAACTCCCAGTTATTGTGGGTAATGGTTGGGAATTGCAGGAGCTGTAGTTCTATAAAATCTAAAGACTAGAGTTTGGGTACAATTATGTCATGGTTGTGAGACATTATACATTAAAGAAGAAAGAGGTATTCAGTTACCAAGCTTGAACTGAAGCCAACTAAATTTAGTTAGCTGTCTACAAACTGTAAGGTAAGGCTGTTTGTTTTGAATATAAGCAAATTAGTCCAAAGCTAAACTCCCTGGTGTCACAGCGGGTTAAACCTCTGAGCTGCTGAACTTAATGACCAAAAGGTTGGTGGTTTGAATCCGGGGAGCAGTGTGAGCTTCTGCTATTAGGCCCAGCTTCTGCCAACCTAGCAGTTCAAAAATATGCAAATGTGAGTAGATCAATAGGTAACGCTTCTGCGGGAAGGTAACGGCGCTCCATGCAGTCATGCTGGCCACATGACCTTGGAGGTGTCTATGAACAACAGTGGCTCTTCAGTTTACCATTCCCCCAGAGTTGGACATGACTAGACTTAATGCCAGGGGAAACATTTTCCTTTACCTTTAAACATGTATTCATTTATCTCAAAAAATCAGACTCAAAGAAGCTCATCTCAAGATCAAACCCCAAAATGAAACAAACATAAACAAATTCAAACACTAAGCCACAATTAGACATGGCTTAAAACAAATGGAAACACATTTCTTCAGACTCTTCCCTTTCATTGTGTAACTTGAGGTGAACTACTAAGCATAAAACAGTGATAATTCAGCCACACACCGGATAGTATACACTAAATGAATCTGCTCCCTCCGTTGTGATGGAGGATCTCTCCTGTCACCAGTGCTTAGGTAAAATTCAAATGCCAGTCCAGTTTGCTTCTGCATGTGGAGTGTTTGCGTGTGCATGTATGGATTCATCATGTTTTCCTTTGCCTCAGGTAGCAAAATGTCTTGGGTTGCCTCCCGTCTTCTCACAGTCTGAAAACAGAAATGTGTGCTGATGGCTGTTGTGAGAGCACAGGCAAATGAGGATAAACAAATGTGTAGGCACTACTGAGTGTGTTCAAGAAAAAGGCAGAAGGAGGAAAAGGAACAACTCACTTAGCTAATAATCTACATTGTTGTTTTACTGCTTGTCCTCTTACAATGAGAAAACTAATGACTCCAAGGTGGGACAGAAATGGGGAAAATAGTATCTCTGTCACAGAGGTGAGTGAAGGAACAGGTACGCACTGTTTTTCAGCAAAAAAGAAGGACTACATAATAAAAACTTGTATTAAAACCTGTTTTAAACTGATTCAGGATTAGCAGTGGATTCAAGGATTAGCTATCTTTCTACAGGCTAAGCAGATGAGCCAGGGTGCATCTACACTGTAGAATCAATTCTGTTTGTAACTACTGTAAAGGCCATGGCTTGTTTCTATGGAATCATGGGAATTGTAGATTGAGAAGGTCTTTAGCCTTTTTTTTTTTTTGCCAAAGAGTATTGGTGCCTCACCAAACTACAAACCCTAGGGTTCCATAGCATTGAATCATGGCTGTTAAAGTGGGGTCAAACTGTATTTATTCTACTGTGTAGATGCACCCATAGTGCCATGTTACTTATAGTATGTGGTTTGCTTCCAATCTGAATTCAAAGTGCTGGTCATGACATTTAAAGCCCCAAAGGTCCATGACACCTTAAGGAATGCCTCTCACTAGCATACCTTGTCATACCTCTGCTGGAGGGACCTTCTTTTGTGATCCATCATTGGGATCAACATGAAGGCAGAGGACATGGGAGAGGGCTCCCTAGTTATGGGATGCCATCCCCTTAAAAGCCCAACTGTTCCACTTATTGATCTCTTTTCCCCTCTTCCCTCCCTCTTTTCCCCTCTTTCTTCCCTTCCTTCTCTCCCACCCTCAATTCCCTTCCACCCCTCTCTTTCTACCTCCCTCCCTCTTTCCTGGTTTTCCTTCCTCCTTTCCTCCTGGAGGATGTTTACCTGGGAAAATAGAGGTTAGGGAGGGAAAATGAGAACAATGTTTCAATATTTAAAAGCATGTCCCATTCAGAAGGAGGGAGGGACTGACTTTCTGCTGCTCTAGAGACCAGTGCACAAGGGAGTGATGGATTCACGTGCCAGGGAAAGAGATTTGACTGAAAAGATTAGGAAGAACTTCATGAGAGTAAGAGCTGTTGGAGAGTGACATAGGCTGCTTGGGAGTGTGATGGAGTCTCCTTCTCTGGAGGCTTTTCCTCAGAGGCTGTCTATTGGGAGTGCTTTGATTGTGCTTTCTTCCATGGCAGGGAGTTGGACTGGATGGCCCTTGGGGGTCTCTTCGAGTTTTAGGATTCTAGAATTATATATCAGGAGTAGGCAATACGGGTCTAATGGATACACTTTTTCTTTCCCGTCCACCATCTCATCCTGACAAAGGCCAACCCTTTTGGGATCCAAACATTTCCTGTCCTTCCTTCACTTTCTGCCTCTAAAAGAGAAGAGGAAGAGAAGGGGACTTGACGAGAACCCCCTCCCTCCTGGCCCATCCACCCAGCTCTGACCCACCATGTGGCCCCCAAGTTAGAAAGTTTGCCCATA